CCGACGTGGGGCTTGAACTCACGGACCGCGAGATCATGACCTGAGCCGAAGTCGGCGGCTTAACCGACTGAGCCACCCAGGCGCCCCCCCTAGTTTTAATTAGAAACAGCTTTTGTTGCTTTAGATGAACGGATGCTTCTAAGAATGAGTATGGAAATTGAGGGGCTGAAAGTAAGAGCTTGGTGACCCCGTTCTTCACAGTAAATTCATTCTGCGTGTCTATTCTACAATTTTGTCAAGCGAAGAATACTCCCTATGTACTCTCTGGGTATTTAACATTTCGCTTTAGAAGTAAACTATGATTCAATTAACCTTTTTTTTTTTTTTTTTTTTTTTTTTTCTTTCTTCAAGGTTTGAGATTATAATAGATTTCACCAGCCTAAGAAGCAGGGACTGTGTGACCATCCTCAATGGGAAGGCTTTCTCAAAGGACTGCAAAGAGTTGAGGCGGTGTGCGTGTGAAAGAAGGGCTGCAGCAGTGAAGCTTGAGAGCCTCCATTAGCCTCTCTGAGCCATTACGTGGAGGTGATTGACTCTTCCGCCATAAAGGTGATGTCAAGCTCCCTTCAGGGAAATTGAAGATCAGAACAAAAGTCAATTTCTTTATGGGCACCTGTAATCATTTGGTTTCAGTTCCTTTTTTTCTCCTATTGGAGCCATGTTTGTACAACAAGGCAGCAAAATGATTTGAGCCAAGCAAGGTCGTTGCAAAGGATATTTGAGACATTGGGAAATGGGAAAAAAGGAGGAAAGGCAGTTTCTCTGACAGGTACAAGAAGCACTTGCCTGTTTCCTGCTCCAGATCGCCAGCATTTCTGAGCTTGGGTTCATGCAAATGTTTATGAGTCACAAAGAAGTCCTATCTGCATACCACCCACCAGTCGCAGACTTTCGTAAAGTTGTAATCTACCTTCTTGACCTAGAGATGCTTTCCAGCGTTCTTCCTTCTCATCATCTAATATCATCTGCCTTTTTCCATGTCTTCCTTAATATTTGGAGAAGTGAGAAACTTACTGAAGTAGAGGAAATAAAGGTGTGTAACATTCTTTACTCCAAAGGTCAAGTAGACCATGAGAAATTAGCAGTCATTTTCTATACAACGTTCTTAAATACAGAACTAATTCTTTCTGTTTCTGTTTGCTTCAGTCCATACTTTTCCCTTCCTACTCTCTCAATAAAGCCCCCCACCTGCCATGTCTAGGGCTTGCTTCTCACTGGGGTAACTCTCTTTATTAGAATCTTAACTTCTTTTTTTTTTTTTTTCCAACGTTTATTTATTTTTGGGACAGAGAGAGACAGAGCATGAACGGGGGAGGGGCAGAGAGAGAGGGAGACACAGAATCGGAAACAGGCTCCAGGCTCCGAGCCGTCAGCCCAGAGCCGGACGCGGGGCTCGAACTCACGGACCGCGAGATCGTGACCTGGCTGAAGTCGGACGCTTAACCGACTGCGCCACCCAGGCGCCCCTAGAATCTTAACTTCTTATGAACATACCTCCCCATGTTCACTCAAGACTCCAACAATTATCTCCTTTCCTGAGGAATTTCTTCCAAGAAAGAAATATTCTCAGCTCAGTTTTGTATCCCAGTTACTGCCCCGATCCTCCCTTCAGAGAGATTGAAGACCAGAGCAAATGTCAGTCTCTTTATGTGAATCTAATCATGTGAGTCTTTAATCAGTTCCGATTTTCTTCCATTTGATCCATGCTTATGCCTTTCAGGTACTGAAGATTTAATAATAATAAATGTAAATAATGTGAAATGTATGTGATTTGAGAATAGATTTGTGATTTGGGGAAATTTTCAGCGTGGAGATGTTCTTCAAACTATGATAGCAACCTGTGTTTCGGTTGTTTGTGCCTTACAGAGAGTTTGTAGGGACTGTACAAGAGTACTGATTATTTGAGCACTGGAAGAAGATAAGTCTTTGAGAGGCACACTGATTTCAAGAAGGTGATTTTAGCACTTTCCTGAGATGAAATCTTTTGAGGCAAGCTGGTCATCAACACATGGCTAAAGATAAGTCAGGGAAATTTTAATAGGTTGAGTTATCCAGTCAGGTCCTGGAAAGGGGAAGAGAGACTGTGACATTTGCACACATCACTGGTTTGTTGTGTAAGCATTCCTTTCTCAGGAAGCCAATATGCACAATCATAACAGGGGTCATGGTAAATAACACCATCACAACCACTGACTGTTTGTGTATGGAAAAATCAATTTTAAGGGTTTAATGCTAGAAAGGATCGTCTATTATAAATCTTTATTTGTCTGCAGTGGAAACTGGGGTGTTTTAGTTTTATTTTCAGTAAGCATCTATCTCATGGTAAAATGATATTAAATTAGCAATCATGATAAAGAGAATATGTCTGTATTCATTTTCATAAGACTGCATTACTTAGCAACCACTACGTGTTGATTTCTTACTTATGAGTTAATTTTCTTTTCAATTTTCTGTCGATTCGTCAGGAAATGTCTTCAGCGTTGAACAAATTTTGTCTTGATTTATTGTGTTGTGCAAAAATAACTGCACTTGTGGCCATAAAATGAGATGTTTTAGATCCCCTATACTGATTCATTATTGGGCAAATCACTTTACCTCATGAAGTTTATTTCATTACGTATGAAGTGGAAATGTTTGTAATTCTCTCGTGGTGCTGTTGTTAGCTGAACTGGGGTAAATATGAAATTAGTTTTACAATCTAAATTGCAATATGAAATGTAAACGACATTAACAACACGTAAAAAAAGGATTTAGCGTTTTCTTTTAAAGTTTATTTATCTATTTTGACAGGGACACTGTGAGCGGGAGTGATGCAGAGAGAGAGGAAGAGAGAGGATCCCAAGTAGGCTTTGTGCTCTCAGCAGGGCTGGATCCCATGAACCATGAGATCATGACCTGAGCAGAAACCAAGAGTCGGATGCTCAACTAACTGAGCCATCCAGGCACCCCTATTTTTTTTTTACATAAGGGACTACAAAAAAGCATAAGCAACCCTTTTTGGATATCTGTATTCTTTAGTAAATTATCGAGAGGCACTTACATTAGGAAGATGTGGATATTGCCAAATGTTTTTTATGATGAGTGCAGATATTTAATGAATGCGATTAATAAAATAGGCACATAACAAGAAATGTGGTTTAGGACTTTAGTTAAGCAATTAAGTGTTATTTAAGTTTTGTGACCACGGGAAGAAAACGTGGTTAATATGAGAAAGTCAAATTATTTTGTGGACTAAGTTGTAAAACAGGGACATGGGACACATCGTTTTGACCCCTGGCATCCTACATAACTGCAGTCTAGTTCAGGGTTGAATGACAAGTGTCTCTTTAAATGCCATTACTTTTTTTTTTTTTTTTAATGTTTATTTATTTTTGAGACAGAGAGAGGCAGAACATGAACAGGGGAGGGTCAGAAAGAGAGGGAGACACAGAATCCGAAGCAGGCTTCAGGCTCTGAGCTGTCAGCACAGAGCCTGACATGGGGCTCGAACTCACGGACCGTGAGATCATGACCTGAGCCGAAGTCCGACGCTTAACCGACTGAGCCACCCAGGAGCCCCAAATGCCATTACTTTAAAGAGACTAGCCGCCTGGAAAGTGGGTGTTGAAAAGTGTTCTCCCTTCAAATCTGCAACCTAAGGGAAAGTGTCACTTTAGATAGTGAAGAGGGAAAAAATAGCATTTATTTGACATTCTTGCTATTCTTAACCCTATTTCTCTCCATATTTGCCCTCGGTCCCATCATCTGTATCACAAAACTTGCGACACTGATCACAATATGAGCAGATATTTCAAAAGAACAGAAATACAGTAGGGCACAACATTTTCTCCCCATTTTAAAAAATATTTAAGAATAGGAAGTAGGGGCTCTTGGGTGGCTTAGTTGGTTAAGCATCAGACTCTCGATTTCAGCTCAGGTCACTATCTCATGGTTCATGAGATCGAGCCCCGCATCGGGCTTCCCGCTGAGAGTGGAGCCTGTTTGGAATCCTCTTTCTCTCTTTTTCTCAAAAAAAAAAAAGAAAAAAAAAAAGAAAAAGAATAGGAAATAATCATGACGTGAACTTGGAAATGTGATTTGCTAAGACATGTTTCCATGGATAATCAGAAAAAGCAGCACCGCGTGAATTAATTTTTGGCTCGTGAAAACTTTTTCTCTTCCAGGCTTTTGTGTGGTTAGTTAATTCTGAAGAAATTTCAGGAAAAGTCAAACGAGGAACATAGCCTTTCCTGGTAGATCTGAGTTCCCTAGGGTACACAATGAGTTATTTCTTTTCCTGAGGATATTGAACCGCTTTTAAAACTTATCAACAGGAAACAGATCATGAGCCCTGTAATAGCAGGAAGAGTGAGAAGTGTAAGGAGAGCTTTTACATTGGAGACAAAAGTGCTTATGAAATAAGGAGAAGACTCTAGTAGATTGCCTTGGGTTTGGCCTTAATATTTGTTATTTATTTATTTATTTATTTATTTTTAATACGAAATTTATTGTCACACTGGTTTCCCCACGACACCCAGTGTTCATCCCAACAGGTGCCCTCCTCAATCAACTACTTTGTAAAGGGATTCTTGTCATTTTCGCAGAATGCAAAAACCATCGTTATTTTATTTACAGTGTACATAACTTTTTTACAACGTTCGTTGTATGAATAACTTTTTAGGATCTGGTAATATTATTATTCTATCAACATTACCATTCTCATGTTTTCCTTTTTATACGCTTAATGTACTTTAACCATAGCTTGTAACAAAGCTTCTTTACATTTCTAGGACAGGGTTTTATGTTTCCTTTCCTCCTTTTTCTTAAAGCTAACTTGGATTTCAATGAGATGGATGAAAGATATCCAATTGAGTATTGGTGAGACCAACATATAAAACTCGTTATCTCTGTGCCAAGGCCCAATCCCTTACCAGTGCCTGGAAAAAGACCTTGATATTCTGGGCCAAAAGCAATCTGCAAGAAAAAAAAAATTTCCACCCGTACTATCTATGTGCAAAGCAGTATTGCCACTGAGGAAATTTGTAGGGTCCTATGCCAGCTGCACTGTAGATAAGATTCTGGCTTGTAAATTATGCATCACATATTGATGGAATGACATCAGCTGAAGGATGTTTGCCTTTGGCTTCATTGTACTTTTTCTTAACAGAGTTATTAAATGCTTCCTATCCTTTCCGTAAACATAGTTCCATGACAATACTCTGAAGAATCTTGAGACAGTCAAATTGTTATTGTTTCTCGTTTATTCCAGGTAATTATATTCAACCGCCAGCTGTCAGCTGTGAAAACCAAACACAGGACTCAACTTCTACTGTGTTTTCTGTGCTATTTTCCTTTTCCAGGTTCAGCAGAAAATTAGAGAAAAATCCCTGTTATTGAAAAGCCCACCGTTTAAACTCCAGGTCAAGGGTAAATTAAAAAAACAAAATAGGGGCGCCTGCGTGGCTCAGTCCAACTTCGGCTCAGATATGATCTCACAGTTTGTGAGTTCAAGCCCCACGTCGTCTCTGTGATGACAGCTTAGAGCCTGGAGCTTGCTTCCCTCTCCCTGGAGAGGCTTAGAGCCTGGAGCTTGCTTCTTGTCTCCCTCTCTCTCTGTCCCTCCCCCCACCCAAAAAATAAATAAACATTAAAAAAGTCACAACAAAACAAAACAAAACATGAAAACATGCTCTTCCCATCCTTAAAGGACCTTATCCTTCAGAGGTCACCTTTTACAATAGACTTCTAGGTTCATTTAAGTTATTTCCACTAGCCTCAGTGGATTTATTTTGTTTCACTTTATTTAAGCCGGTATCTTTATTGTAAAGAGAGATGAGAATCTAATGTAGCTCAGCTAGTCCTTGTGAAAAATGAAAAATTAAATAAAATTGTATTGGATTTAGCAGGTATTTGATGAGAATTTACTGTGTAGCAAGTTTTACTAAGGATGGTAAACAGAAGTAATGTAGTAATAATTGGCGAATTTTTCTTTCCTGTAGATTACAAGATACTTTCACATCTTGTGTCTTGGCAACAAGCTGATCTATGTACAAGGAGCCTGCAGACCTAGGATTCAGATTGTCTATAGATTTATTTGAAGAGAGTCATTAACTTTAAAACAGATATTTTGTCTAGACAGTTCCTGACATTTATATATAAACTTTAGCTTCTCGATATTCCTGTAACCCGCGCAGGAAAAAGGGTCATGTTTATCTAGACTACATTAATAAAGTTGATGCCTACAGATGACTAGTAATTTACTCCAGATAATAATAATGAGCACTGATATAGTGTCAAACTCTAGGAAAGGCAATAGTTTCAGCAATTAACAGACATTAATAATTTAATTCTCAAATAATATTTTGAAATAAGTCCTATTACTACTTTACAATGAAGAAATTGAGGCACAGAGAGGTGCAGTTACAGTGGAATGTTACTTCTCCAAAAAAGACATCCAGATGGCCAGCAGACATGAAAAGATGCTCAACATCACTCGTCATCATGGAAATGCAAATCAAAACTACCATGAGATGTCATCTTACACCTATCAGAATGGCTTAAATCAAAAGCACAAGAAACAATAAATGTTGGCAAGGATATGGAACAAAAGGAACCTTCTTGCACTGTTGGTGGGAATGCACACTGGTGCAGCCACTTTGGAAAACAGTATGGAGGTTCCTCAAAAAGTTAAAAATAGAACTAGCCTATGATCCAGTAATCATGCTACTAGGTGTTTACCCCCAAAATACAAAACACTAATTCAAAGGGTTACATGCACCCCTATGCTTATAGCAGCATTATTTATAATAGACGAGATATGGAAGCAGCCCAAGTGTCCATCGATTAATGAATGGATAAAGATGTGGTACACACACACACACACACACGCACACACACGCACACACAATGGAATATTATTCAGCCATTAAAAGGAATGAAATCTTGTCATTTGCAATGACATGGATGGAGCTAGAGAGTATAATGCTAAGTGAAATAAGAAAGTCAGAGCAAGACAAATACTATATAATTTCACTTATATATGGAATTTAAGAAACAAAGCAAGTGAGCAAAGGGGGAAAAAAAGAGACAAGCCAAGAAACAGACTCTTAACTACTGACAGGAGACTGATGGTTACCAGAGGGGAAGTGGGGGGGGGGGGGGGGGGGGCGTTAAATAGATGATGCGGATTAAGGAATGCACTTATCATGATGAACACAGGGTGACGTATGGAATTGGTGAATCACGACATTGTACCCCGGAAATTAATACTACAGTGTATGTTAACTATACCGGAATTGGAATTTTAAAAATAAAAAAAAAAAAAATGCTGGAGTGTTAACCTCGAGAGTCTCAGCCTGAGTCCTTTGATTTGTGAGTACTAGAGACAGTCAGAGAGAGGAAAGAAGGAAGTTCACAGCTGTCCTTTACTGGAGATGCACTGGTACTGACGGCCTAACTACTCCTACTTATATAAAGTGCTTGTAATGCAAGTGTCCAGTAGAATTCTGCAATCCTAAAAGGTTATTGTCTTACAGGCAGCAGATAGCTGTCTGTCTTCTTTCTAATATGAAAATCCATATCTCTGTCCTACTCTCCTGCAGATTCAATAGTGGAATGCCTGGAAGCCTAGAAAACATGCAAAGAAGGATCTGGCAGGCAGAGATTTTAAAAGCCTACATTTATTTATTTATATATATAAAAAAATCAGCCAGCTAGAAACGCATCATCCCCCCAGGGGCTTATAGATTTTTGTGTGGAATTTATAGTCACTCTAGATTAGGGGGGGAAACAAAAGCACAAGAACATGTTTTTTCTTCAGTTTGTTCTCAGCGTTTCGGGATTTTGTCCTCAGTAGCTCGAAGTCACTTTTATTCTTGGCAATTTACACAATGTCAAATGAAGGTCTGGAAAGCATTGAAGGAAATTGCCAAGTGTAAATGCAGAGATAGGTTTTGAGTCCCAGGTAGGTAGTTTCATAGCCCACACATCGGCATACTTCACTTGCCCCTTGGAATTTTGTGGCAGGTTTTCCAATGGCCTGATCAGCACACTCTTGCAATAGATCTCTTCAAGTGCAATTTTGTTCAGGTAGAGGATCATAATGCATACTTCTCACAGATAAAATATTTCCAAATGCTGCAGTTAGCGGAAGACAGGGACTTGTCCTTGAGATATCCGCAAAGCTGGTTAGTTGATTGGAGTGTCTTTACTGGTGACCTGGGGAGGCAAAGTCAGTGAATCTGACTTTAGGCATGGGGCTGACTGTGATGGTCTTGTGGGTACCTAACGAGAGGTGGGTAGCTCTTTGTTTTGTTTTAATATGGTATCCTCCTATGGCACCCTCTTTCTTCAGTAACAGAGCTGTTTTCCCTCAATAAAAATATGCTACTATAATAGCAAAAAGCCTCACATTAAAAGAAATAGAGACACAAAAGTTGGCTCTAACTTAGGATTTCTTTCCCGACTCTTAACTCTCAAAATACTAAGGCACAAAATACTAAGGCACCTAATCCTGTTCACCAATCTCCCTAGTTCTATCTAAAAACCTTAATATGGAAATCGCTTAATAATCACCATAATGTCTTTCCCTTAGTACTCTAGCCATTAAATGGTCCACAGGAAATGTCATGATACTGATAAATGTTGTTCATGCAGTGTCTCCAATTTTGATGTGAATGTGCTACGGGTGATGGCAGCAGGACTGAGAAGGACGAAAACTTGGAAGCCACGAAGCTACCCTTCAATGACCTCAGCTTTGGTTCCAATAAAAAGCCTGTGAAGCTATCATTGCTGGTTCTGTCTTCTGGAAAAACTCTGAGGTATAAAATAAAAGGAACAGTCTGAATTCCCTCAGGTTTCTAATTTTTCTTGTAACAATTCCCTCAGACACTTACAGGTCAGGGGGAGGAGCGGAGCCATCTTGCCAAAGCCACGATCTGCTGAGACCATCCTGAGACAGTCCCACCCAGTAATCATAGCCACTTTTGATCTTCCTCAGGCTGCCAGTGATAAAGTCCTAGAAGCAACAAGACCTCAACAGTGAACTAGGGGGAAAACAGCAACAAACTATGATGAAATATAAAGTGTGACATTTTGCCTCGATGGAAATTGAGAAAGAATAAGACAGAGATGGTTTTAAAAGAAGGGATACATTTCGTAGATTTGTTTTTACTGTCGTACGATAGATGGGGTCTTAAGGACTATAAGGAAAATAAGCATCTGGCAATAAAATAATCTTAACAGTTTCCGAGTTTGACAGTTAATACATGTCAAAACAAGGTGTGATACTAATCAGGAAGAGTAGAAATATCCTTGACATCATAGACCGCATAGATCATTCTTTCCCAGTATACTTCAATACGAGAAATAATTTAGAAGATTCCAGAGGCAACTTAACTGTAGGGGTGTTCTGTTATAAAAAAACATGACTAGGGGCGCCTGGGTGGCGCAGTCGGTTAAGCGTCCGACTTCAGCCAGGTCGCGATCTCGCGGTCCGTGAGTTCGAGCCCCACGTCAGGCTCTGGTCTGGGCTGATGGCTCAGAGCCTGGAGCCTGTTTCCGATTCTGTGTCTCCCTCTCTCTCTGCCCCTCCCCCGTTCATGCTCTGTCTCTCTCTGTCCCAAAAATAAATAAACGTTTAAAAAAAAAAAATAAAAAAAATAAAAAAAAAAAATAAAAAAACATGACTAGCTTTTGTTACCAAATTTGCACAGAAAAAATAGTGGAAGCCTATAATTGTAGTGAGTTCAAGTTGTCTCGGTTTCCTGCGTGTCCTTAACATATTGTTAAATTGTTCTCTCATTATTCTTGGAAAATTGAACGTTAGCTAATTATTGAGTATAGCAAGCATACATTGTTAATAAGGTCAGAAATGTGTTAACTCTGTATTCTACTTCATACATATTTCCATAAATATGTAAAATGACTTCAGGGAAACACTGCTTGTTAAGATGGTAGTAAACCAGACTAAACGTTTCATTTAGCAAATGCTTATTTTCATAGACCTCTCCATTTCATGACGTCACTTCCCTTTTTATACTTCCGCTTTTCCTTGGTAATTACAGAGTTGTGATTGGTTGTTATACTTCCCTACAGCATTGAAAATGATGACTCTGAACCATACACAATTGTAATATACGTACATCTTGGAGTGGATCAACAAGTCATAAAATAGTATTTCCTTTACCGCCTTGCCTTTTTGATTAACAAAGGACATACAGCTAACATATTCTCGTTGATTTCTGGATAGCTTCCTGCTTTTGTTTTGTTTGTCTAATTAAAGGGAAAACAAACTTTGGCAATTCCCACTCCGTCTCTTTGAAACCTTTGTTACGTACAACAAATATACTACTCTTGTAGAATATTAAGGAGTCCTGTCTTCTTAGAATGAGTCCTTTCTCTTAACGTATCAGGGTATTTTCAGAATGATAGGAAACCACGAGATACTGTTTACCATTTCTTCTTTGCTGTCTATTTGTAGAAGATTAGAGCCCTCCTTCAAACAGTCCTCTTTACTGGTGTGCCAGATTTTCCAGTTTTCAAAGACATGGTAGCAACTTCCACCATTCTGAATCCAGTTGTTTGGACAAGGGCTGCAGTTATGGGCTTTGAATATAAACATACCTTGTTAAATTTATCAGAAAAATATCAGTAGCACATCTCCCCAAAGGAACCCCTTGTCTCACCCCCAATGAAACTGAGCACTTTTAACCAAATGGTTCGTATGAGGCAGTACTTATCGTAGTGAGATTTATATAATTATTTCCAGCTACAATAGGTCTGTAAGAACTTGTTTAAGATAAAATTAACTTTGGGGGGCCTGGGTGGCTCAGCTGGTTAAGCGACCAACTCTTGGTTTCGGCTCAGGTCGTGATCTCACGTTCATGGGTTTGAGCCCCACATCAAGCTTCAAGCTGACAGTGCTGAGCCCGCTTGGGGTTCTCTCTCTCTCTCTCTCTCTCTCTCTCCTTCCCTCTCAAAATAGATAAGTAAACTTTTTTTTTTTTAAACTTAAAATTAGTTTTGGATGTCTTTCCCCAAATTGTTCCTCTTCTATAATAAGTGAGCTGATTGTTCTATTTTTATAAATATTTCCCTTCTTTAGGTTGACATCATTTATGTCTTCATTTGTTTGCTTACTGTTTCATGTCTGTTAACCTCACTGGTGCAATCTAATTGGAAATATACTGGACCATTAGGCAAGCTGAGTAATAAGTTTCAAGTTGATGTTTAAATTCTGAGAGTTAAACATGAACGTGTTTCGTGTGTAAGGGAGAGAACAAACAGTTCATTCTACTTTGAGGAATGATTTTAGAAAAACGTGAGTGAGGAAAATTGAAGAAAAACATAAGTGACCAATAAGCTTATTTCAGAACTTGGATATAACTAACAAGTAAGCCATATTGTTTAATCGGTCTTATGAACCCTGTCTTAAAGAATGTATTCACAAAAAAAGTGTGCTCAAGAGTATAAAAGGGGAACCGAAAAGCAGGAGTTTGACCGTTTCTTGCACAGTTTTATAGAGGGAAAGACACTGGCATTTCCAGAACTCTAGTTTCTAGACAGAGGACTTCTACTGAGGGTCACAAATAGTTCATTATCAGTTTCCATGGATCCAATGTTGAGTTATTTAAAGCTTTTCATTATCCTTCATTTAGAATCTATGCTGATCAGTGTCTTGTCTATTGTTAAAGTTATAGCCTGAGTGGCATTGACAATGGCAGCTGAAAGGTTGGAGGACATGTTAGATTTGTAGGTCTCCAAAATGGATATTGTCATTGTCTCGAGGTTGGTGGCTCAGATGTGGGCCCAACTCATGTTTGCAAAAGCTTGATGTATTTAAAAACACTGTGGGGCACACAGTGATTCTGTAAACATTTATTTGACTACATTTTAGTCAGAAGGAGCTATAGTAAGTAGGTTTTTGATCTCTCTCATTGGTGATTCTTTAAACGGTATTCACTCCAAGGATAATTAATGCCAATTAGGTAACCATAGAATATTTGACAAACTACAAAACAAATAGAAATAGGCTGTTTTAGGTTTAAATGCTTGTAAGAGGGGAGCAGCTTGGCTGGCTCAGTCGGTAGAGTGTGACTCTTGATTTCAGGGTTGTGAGTTCAAGCCTCATGTTAGGTGTGGAGCCTACTTGAAAAGAAATGCTTGTAGGAGATGTAAAAGATAAAACTGAAATAACTTCATAGAATATTTAAAAAGAGCTGAACCCTGCATTGTTATAATTTTTGTGGTAAAGACTCTGATTTCTAAAATGATTTTTCTGCCCAAAGGGATATCTAAATTTGAATCTAAAGCAATGTCTCAACTAAATATATTGAAGAAATTAGAACTATAATTAAAGATGCACTTAACAGGGGCGCCTGGGTGGCTCAGTCGGTTAAGCGTCCGACTTCAGCTCAGGTCATGATCTCACGGACTGTGAGTTCGAGCCCCGCGTCGGGCTCTGGGCTGATGGCTCAGAGCCTGGAGCCTGCTTCCGGTTCTGTGTCTCCCTCTCTCTCTGCCCCTCCCCCGTTCATGCTCTGCCTCTCTCTGTCTCAAAATAAATAAACGTTAAAAAAAATTAAAAAAAAAAAAAGATGCACTTACAAATTGGAGTGATTGGGTAAAACATCGAATGCTGCTTAAAAAAAAAAAATCTGATCTAATCCTACACATTTCCCTTTGAAATTTGACTATATGCTTTTTAAATCTGCATTTCGTGGGACCTCAGTATTTTCCACGTTCTATGGAAATATATAAATAAGATTGAACTGAAGTGTGGATCAAAATTACGTTCCTCCTAATTTAAAGCTCTGACTGTAGTTCTGCAGAGAGTAAAATGTATGTCACTGTTTCTTTTAAGGGATTGGTGCCTGCACTTGTATCTGCACAGTGGAAACTGATTTGATATCAATTACCTGAAACGAAGGAGTTTTGCATCAAGGTTTGACAGTATTTCATCTGAAGGTTATGGTTTTTCTGCCATCGTGTGAAATTCCACATTGTTCTCTCCTGATGGATGAGTTTTTCTTGCTGCTTCATTGCAATAGTGGACACCTGGAACACTTCAAACAATAACAATCATTCTTAATAAAAAATACTAACAAATTATTGCAAAGTAGTTTTTCCATACAGACTAAGTACAGCTGCAAATTACTGATGATCTTTGGGACTTTAATTCGCATTAAGTTTTTGTTTACAATTTACACTGTTCAAGAATCAAAAACTTCAAAGGAGACAGAGCAAAAAGCCACTTTATCACCCAGTCTCCTCATGCACCTGACTTCACTCCCCAAGAGCAGTCAGCTTTACCAATTTCTTTTTTACTCTACCATATATATTTGCTTGAATTTTACAAGCAAATGCATATAAAATGCCCTCTCTTCCCTTTGTATGGACGGTAGCAATCTGTTTCTATGGTTTTTCACCTTTTATTTTACCACTTAAAATATATTTGGGGGGCACCTGAGTGGCTCAGTCAGTTGAGTGTCTGACTATTGGTTTCAGCTCAGGTCATGATCTCCTGGTTCATGAGACTGAGCCTCGCATCAGGCTCTGTGTTGGCAGTAAGGAGCCTGCTTGGGATTCTCTCTCTCTCTCTCTCTCTCTCTCTCTCTCTGCCACTCCTTCAATCATGCTGTCTCTGTCTCAAAATAAATAAGTAAACTTTAAAAAAAGGTAATTATAAAGTATATTTTGGACCTAATTCCATATCAATATATAAATAGCTTTCTATTCCTTTCATTATAACTGTATTGAATTCCATTGTCTGGATATATCATGATTTATGTTAGACATTTTCTATTGACTTTTAGACTGTTTGTAATCTTTTGGCATTCCAGAAATAAATACTGTAATAAAGAACCTTAGTCATACATAATTTCACACATATGCAAGCATATTTTTAAGATAAGTTGCTTGGTCAAAGTTTATGTACATTTAAGTTGTATTACATATCTCCAAATTACCCTCCATATATGCTGTTGCACATGGTATCTCAATATCATTTGACTTTGCATTTCTCTTTTTACATTGGTGTCGAAACATTTTCTCATACATATAAATGTCATTTGTATTTCCTTTTCTATGAAGTGTATAATCATATATAATATATAATTACATACATAATTATAATTTTTCTCATTGAGTTTCTACTCTTTCTTTGACTGTTTTATATGAGGTGCTTATTGTGCTGAGAATTCATTCAAACAGGCCTGGGATCAGCCTGACAGTGTCTGTAAAGTTTCTGCCTGGTACCGACCTCTGGACGAGGTGTGAGACATACTGATTAATAGTGTCGCTTTGCAATCATCAGTCTGAGGATGTTGGGGCCAGATCATACTAGCTTGTCGGCATTCTTTACTGATGCCATATGACCGATGATTTGCCCCTGGTTACGAGGAGGTCCTGAGCAGGGTCTGCTGTTGAAGCCGGTTACCTTACAGAAGTATGCCTATGCAGTCAGCAAAATATAAAAATTCCCAAGCAAGTCTCTATTTGGGGTGCCCTGGTACCAAAATATTCTGTGTATACATTGGTGGTTCCTGACTGAAGAGAAGAACTGTGTTCCGAAAGGTTAGTCACAGAGGGAGGACGAGACACCTGTTCGTACCTGGCCTGTCCGGATCCTTCATTGTAATACATATCCTTACTTTAATGTGGTCGTTAAATTGTACCCTTTTCTTATGGTAAACTGTACATTTGTCAGCCCTGGCATTTTGGGTCGTGTGACTCTTCTTCGGCAAATCAATCTCGTGTAACGGGTTCTGTTAGTGCATTTGTACTTTGGTAAACTGAGCTTTTCCCTGATACGAGCTGCAGTTACACTGTCCCAGTGTGTCTGACTTTGCATGTGGTAGTTTGCCCCACGTACATCAGATGCTTTTTAAAATTTTTGATTTTGTTTAAATCCAAGGTAGTTAACATATACGGTAACAACGGCGTCCGGAGTTGAATCTGGCGATTCATCATCTACCTTTGGTAGTCAGTGCCTATCCCAAGTGCCCTCCTTAATGCCCAGCACCCATTTAGCCCATCCCCCCACCCAACACCCTCTCAGCAATTCTCAGTTTGTCCCCTGTATTTGAGGGTCTCTTGTGGTTTGCCTCCCTCTCTGTTTTTATCGTATTTTTCCCTTCTATTCCCCTATGTTCATGTGTTTTGTTTCTTGAGTCATTTTTAGTAAACAAATTGCCCTTCAGATTATACTTTTATAAGTATAGTTCATTTTTCCATATTTGGTAGCTGGAATTTATTTCGTTGGAATTTATAAGGTATGACTTCAGCGTTTCTCCCCCAGATGGCTACATTGTGTGTGGCCTCATATCCTTTACTGAATGAAACCCCTCCCCATTGTCTTGGTTTTTTTTTTTTTAAGTTTATTTATTTTGAGAGAGAGAGAGAGAGAGTGCCGCATGCATAAGTGGGGGAGGGACTAAGAGAGAGAGAGAGAGAGAGAGAGAGAGGATCCCAAGCAGGCTCTGCACCATCAGTACGGAGTTCCTTGTGGGTCCCCGAACTCACGAACCATGAAATAATGATCTTAGCCGAAGTCAGATGCTTAACCGATTGAGCCTCCCACGTGCCTCTCCTCCCCATCCTCATTTACTTGCCATCTGTAGCTGAAGGGATAGAATAATAGGAATAATATATTTCTATTATTTTAGTTACACTCGATCCGCCTGCTTCTCGGCGGAATGAACCACACAGCCTTCATTATTTTAGATTTATAATTTTATTTCAATATTCGGCAGGGCCTGCCTTTCTCCCATTTTCACATTACTTTTATATTATTTTTTGTTGCCGTTCTTTCCTTCTAAGTCTGACTCGCTTTTTAGGTCGATTCTTTTTAAAAATCATATTATAAAGTACCCATCTATTCCTAGTCTATTAAATAGTTTTCTTCACATGGATATTGCTTTTCTTTGTGCCATTTGGTTTTTATAGAATGTCTTGAAACCCGCGGCTTAATGTTTTTGATCAGTTTGCGAAAACATTCATCCAATAGGTCTTAAAATAATACCACTTTTATCGAACTATCTCTTCTACTTTGGGGTCTATTATTACACATATGCTAATCTTTCTCAATATGGTCTAGGACTCTTACCCTCTTTTCTATATTTTGCTCAAGAGCTAGGGAGATATGCAATGGAAGGTTTATACCTTGTCCATTGGTGGTTCAAGTAACCTACGCTGCTAGTGGCTTGGATTATGTTCCTTCTTAGCAAAAGGCTAGATATAACCAGAGTGGGGAGTAGGACAGTGATGTTATTTATTTTATTCTATCTATAATTTGGCATGTTTAGAGATTGAAAAATAATATTTTTTTAGGAATTTGAAGTATTATTCTAGAAGTTTAAATTTCGATGAACTCTTTCTAGATTAACCATATTCTTTTTTTTTTTTTTTTTTAATTTTTTTTTTCAACGTTTATTTATTTTTGGGACAGAGAGAGACAGAGCATGAACGGGGGAGGGGCAGAGAGAGAGGGAGACACAGAATCGGAAACAGGCTCCAGGCTCTGAGCCATCAGCCCAGAGCCCGACGCGGGGCTCGAACTCACAGACCGCGAGATCGTGACCTGGCTGAAGTCGGACGCTTAACCGACTGCGCCACCCAGGCGCCCCAGATTAACCATATTCTTTAGGTTATTGCTGCTGTGTTTATTACCATCTGAAAAGGTTGTACTGTATAAAACTGTAATAAAACTGGAGAAAGGGAAATGAGACTTCTCTTTTGTTCCTCCCCAAATGGGAAGCAAAATACAGTGTTGGGCTTGTAATCGATTTGCAACAAGTGAGGAATAAAGATTAAACAATATATTTATTTGGGGGAATATAAGACAAATGTTTTTAAAGCCCCCCAAATAAAAGTATCTTGTAATTATACGATGTTGTATGATATACTTAATGGATGAATTAAGAAAATGAAAAAGAAGAGTAAAAACAAATGAAAAAATTTGATGTTTTAGAAAATATTTTGCACTACAGAGCTTTCAAAATAGAAATTAGCATAAATCATTTGGTAGAAAAAAATAGAAAATACAAAATAGTAGGAAGAAAGCAAGAAACTGCTTTTCCTTACATTTAAACCCACCATTCAAATAGTTGTTAGCATTTAGTTTATATCTACTAAAATTTTTTTCCACATATGCATGTAAAACCCCATCTATGTTACATATAATTTTTATAAAACTGTATTTTTCCATAAGTGACTTTTAAGTCTGCTTATTTCATGGGAACTATTGTGTAACCATATCTCCATATTAACAGCAACAGTTCTAGAAGACCTCTTTAAATTACTGCAGTGTATCCTTTTATATCAACGTACATGATTAATTTTACGAGTCATTTTACTGTCAGATAAATATGGATGCATTTTTAATGGTATACAAGAAAAATTTGTAATTAACCCATGCATTACTTTCATATTTAAACAGGATATAAGGGCGCCTGGGTGGCGCAGTCGGTTAAGCGCCCGACTTCAGCCAGGTCACGATCTCGCGGTCCGTGAGTTCGAGCCCCGCGTCGGGCTCTGGGCTGATGGCTCAGAGCCTGGAGCCTGTTTCAGATTCTGTGTCTCCCTCTCTCTCTGCCCCTCCCCCGTTCATGCTCTGTCTCTCTCTGTCCCAAAAATAAATAAACGTTGAAAAAAAAAATTTTAAACAGGGTATAGATTTCATTCATTACTCTTTGTCAGAAACATGCCCCTGTTTCTAATATGTATATTAAATTATATATTATATAATAATTTAAACATTAATATTGGCCTTTTTCTTACAGTGAAAATTTTCACGGAGAGAATATTTAACATTCTTTATTAAGTGGAACATGATTAAGGTGAGATAATTGTTAGACATTAAACATGATTTTTACAACTCAAAATATACTGGCTATAAAATAATCTATAACTAGAAGGACAGCGATAAGTTAAGAAAGTCTGAAGTAAACAAACCACTTCTTGTTTAGCACAACTCTTGTTTCTGTAACTGGCTTTTACTTAATAAAAGCCCTAAGAATGTTTTGAGAGTGTAAAAGATGATCTTGGCCAATGGCCATATTGGTAGCAAAAAACCAAAAGCCACTATACATGAAGAAAAGCCACTAGTAAAGATATTTTACATTTGTATAGTGCTATTTATAAGTTTTAAAAGTAGGTATTTGTAGCTATTAATGCAAAAAAAAGCCAAAGCTTGTATTTGTAAGCATTTTCCAGAAATTACTGAAAGTTTTAAATATTTTATTTTCTAGCTAGCTTTCCTTTATCCTCATGGAAGTATTTTCTTCCCATATTTTTTGTTTTGGGAGTTAAAAAAAATTGTTTCATACAGACTACATCCATGGGATTACGGCATTAAAAAAACAACAAACAGCAATCACTGATGTTGTCACCGTCTATCTTACGTTCCTGACCCTGTTTTTAGTTACTTTTGTATCCTTCCAGTGTCACTCTGTGCATGAATTCTTGTACTGTCGTCAGAATGGAGCTAGACAATATTCCATTCAAAGTGCCCAGGTTTTACAGAAGAAACTGAATTATTCGAGGTTAATTTACTTATCTGTTAGTTCTCTTTCAACTCCTCAATCTATTTCCAGTGTGTCTGTTTGAGAAATATACATTTAAGTGTGAGTTTCCTAAAAAAAATAGACTTGCGTTTGATTTAAATAACGTTTTTATATGATACCCAGAGAGAGTAGACGGTGAGATAAGGAAGGCTTTCGCAGTGCTAACATTTGTTGTGAAATTTCTTTTGAGGTGATAGACAAGGCAACAATTACTTATTGAACTTCTAGTAATTCTTAAAACAATTTTCTAAGAACAATCAGGAAAATAAGTTCATGGCTAACATGAACAAGATCAAGTTTCTTGTACTTTGTGGAAGCAAATCTGAACCCGTCTCTTCTTCATTCTAAAACTCATAATTCTCACCAGCTAATGTCTGCTAGATAGAGAAATGTTTTTCCAGAGCATATGAAAAGGAGGAATTATCTGGACAATAAACTTTATCTCTGTCTTTCTATATATACTTCCTAGTGCTAGCATGAGTGATAATCCAAGTTGTTGGTTGTTTTTTTGTTTGTTTTTTGTAATCTGCAGCTCTGTAATTATTATATTTTATAAAAATTTCACTAGCCAGATACGAAAACATGTCTTAAAATTTGGACTAAAGAAATGTGATTAATTATGGCCCAAATAAAGTGTTCAGATTGCATTAAGCTTACTATCTTGTACTTTGCCTCATATAAAGTGAAAAGCTCTTACTAAAATAATCTGCATAAAGTTAAATTTAAAATACATGCATATTTAGAAAAGAAAGAGCATTATACTGAAATCTTTCAAATTGCATCCTTTGGCATACTAATAAGAGTCACAAATTGAATCATAATATAAGTCATTATTTGCATTATTTTCCCCAAAGAGACAATGGCATTAGAATTGAGTTAAACAATTAACTAATGCAGATGAGCATTAAAAGTTATCAGTAGCATCCCAGTGCTTAGAGAGTTACATAAATGCCCCATAACTTAAATTAGTAAGCCATTATTTTACATCACTTATATGCATTTACAGGTTTCTCATGGATTGGTTTATCTATTTATAAATTATGATATTTATTTATAATGATATATAGAATTGTCTATAAAGCTACATGCAGCATATATGTACATATGTATTTTTATAATGTATAATTATATGTAAAGTATATGTAGTATGTATACAGAGAGATTATTTAGAAGATACCCTTTTGTACTTACACTTGATGCCCAGGAAAACAGAGGTTGTTACTGAGCCCACGCAGAAAATACATGAAATCACCACCAGAAGACACCATGTTCCTGAGCAAGGAATAGGGCCAATGATACTGAGTTAGAGAAAGTAGACGAAAGACATGGGCTAAGAGCAGACCCAGTGAAAGAAAGAATTTGCATTCCTACTAGATAGAGAATCCCTGAAGCCCTGGGGACTGTGGTAACAGGAAAAAAGCACTCTGAACTTTTGGAAATGCAAGTTAGATTTGGAAAAATGTCAAATCCAATAGGTTAAACAACATACTTCTCTTAATGGTATATGATGCCACAATCTTACTACCTAGTTTTCTAGTTTTCTCTTCCAGCAATCTTTTAGAGCAAACCGGGTAGTAAGCCTTCATTTTTGAAAGCAAACATCCTCATCTCTCTCCAGTGCCACTTGAACAAGATTGGTTCAAAGATATTTCTTTTATTAAAAAAAAATTGGGGCGGAGGGGGGCGCCTGGGTGGCTCAGTCGGTTAAGCGTCTGACTTCGGCTCAGGTCATGATCTCACAGTTTGTGAGTTCGAGCCCCACGTTGGGCTCTGTGCTCACAGCTCGGAGCCTGGAGCCTGTTCAGACTCTGTGTCTCCTTCTCTCTCTCTGCCCCTCCCTGGCTTGTGCTCTATCTCTCTCTCTCTCAAATATAAATAAATGTGAAAAAAATTTTTTAATAAAAAAATAATTATTTTTAATGTGTATTTATTTTTGAGAGAGAGAGAGAGACAGAAACGGAGCATGAATCGCGAAGGGGCGGAGAGAGAAGGAGACACAGAATCCCAAGCAGGCTCCAGGGTCTGGGCCATCAGCACAGAGCCTGGCACGGGGCTCAAACTCATGGACCGGGAGATCGTGACCTGAGCTGAAATGAAGAGTCAGACACTTAATTAACTGAGCCACCCAGGCACCCCCACAGATATTTTTTTTTAAATATACAATTTTGGATGAGGGACATTTTGTTTTCCAGGTAATTTTGCATCTATTCAGGAAGGAAAAATGAAGAATGTATGATTTGCTATATTCTTAACACTAGCCAGAAAGAATTAAAAGTTATCTTTGTTTGGATTATGTGGTAGGCTGAATAATGCCACTGCCCCAAATGCCCATGTCCTACTCCCTGGAACCTGTAAATATTACCTTTTGTGGTAAAGGAGACTTTAAATTAAGTGAAGGATCTTGGGATGGGGACTTTATCCTGTTTAATCTGGGCCTTTATAAGTGGGAGGTCGGGAGTCAGGGTGCTATATGACAATGGAAGCGGAAAGACACTTGAAAACATAATGCTACTGGCTTTGAAAATGGAGGAAAAGGCCATGAGCCAAGAAAAGCAAGAAATGCCGCTCTAGAAACTAGAAGACACAATGAGATGTATTCTCCCCCAGAACCCCTTAAAGGAACGCACCCTTGCCAACGCCTTGCCCAATGAAACCAATTTTGGACTTCTGACCTTCAGAACTGTAAGATAACAAATTTGTCTTGTATTAAACCCCTTGGTCCATGTTAATCTATTATCAAAATAATAAGAAGCTAATACAAATGTTAAATAATAATACCAGCACTGATCACTGGAGCAGACCCCTCCAGACTGGTAAGATTTTGCCAGGTTTTCAACCCCTGTTTTCTCTTTATTTCCTAGTATTTGTCAGGTGATTTTCAGGGTATTTTATGCAGGAACCAAACTAATAAAAAATATATATATGATTTCTTTCATGTATCTTCCAAATTTGGGAATTCGTTGTCTTTCCAGCAAGAGAGAGGGAAAAGGGTTACTTTTTTGTCATAGGTTACGTATTTGTCGTAGCCATTGCTCTTTTCGTTTCGCACCTTTACTTACTCTCCCATATCACTTCATTTTTAACGTTAGCGTATCATGCACATTATCAGATGCATACGTGAGTAATCTCATTAGAAAAATCACCTTTAGCGCCCTGCGGCTTTGTGCCTGTTAAGTCCTCACCCCAGCTCACGACCGCTGTCCTGTGAGACCTGGGCTCAAGGCCCTGAGCCTGGAGCCTGCCTCCCATTCTGTGTCTCCCTCTCTCTCTGCCCCTCCCCCATTCATGCTCTGTCTCTCTCTGTCCCAAAAATAAATAAAAAACGTTGAAAAAAAATTAAAAAAAAAAAAAAAAAGAAAAATCACCTTGGGCTCATCGTAGGCCAGGAAACAAAATGTAAACTGCAAAGTCTTGGACTAAATAATCAGAACTGGTTACCTGCACATTTGGTGGAAGACAGATGTTTCTGGTAAGGGCTTGGTGTTGGATTATCCCACTGGAGTGAGTTGTATGTCCCTTCTTCCTGCATGTCTGAGATGCTTCGACAGGTAAGGCAGTCTCCAGGAGAAGGCGAGGCAAAATATCTCCTCTTGTGTCAGGAGCAGGCTGGTGAAAGAATTGAAATTGACTACTTCTCTCACCGGTGGGAAACTACGTTTGGGTTTAAGGAATAGAATCGATGCATCTTCATCTAGAAAGTAGAAGTTTGTGAAGTTGAAGCCAGAGTAGAACTTGTTAAAGAAGGAAATGAGAAAGAACCTGAACTTGAAAAGGCCGATGGTAGAATAGATTATTGCTCTGGTTTCGAAAGCACAGCAGATGTTGAAGGTGACAGCACTGAGTTATTGTCAAGATGAAAAGAATAGAAGTCCAAACAGCACCCTTGTATTTGGTGTAGGAAGCATTTGGATGACCTAGGGAGCAAAGAGCCAGGGTTCGCTCACCTGGGACAAACCAGGATGTAAGGAGCTGTGGATCACTGTGTATCCTTAACACAAAAAAGCTAGGGAGGGATTTCATCTCTAAAATTAATTTACCTGCTGTAGTAGTTAGGGTAATATAGTGACAAGTGAGTTTCAGAAAGCACACTAAAGATTATTTCTTGCTCACATAACAATTTAGCTTGAGTAACCCTGGTTAGTGGGTCAATTTCTTCCAAGGGGGACCCAGGCTCCTTCTATCTCGTGAGACACCGGAGTCCCTTGGAAAGGGAAAGAGAAGATGGCGAATCCACATCTGCTCGAAAAGCCATAACCTACATGTAGCACATCCACATCCACTAATGTAATGCTTGTGTTTGGATCTAAAAGGCTGGGCCCGATAAATGTGATTTTTGCCTGGCCAGGGAAATTTTTGTGACAATGTTACTCTAAATGGGAAGCATGAGTTATTTAGTGGATAGGTGGCCATTTCTGTCACATCCTGTGACTATAGCATTGGCATTAAGAATCTTGAGACTTTAATCACCATTCACATATTGGCCATTTGTCCTTATGGCCAAAGGTCATGTCTTAGTAATGCATAGTTTGCAAATCTCAACAATCTGCAAAATCGCAATGCTCCCTTTTGTTTCAGTGTCTCCCTGCATCAATCATTGGTCTCTGTAACAGAAGAAAACAAATGGCATATTCAGAGAGTAATCTAAGGGCATTGAATAAGGGCACTGTTGGGGGAAGGATTAATGGACCCAAAAAAGGTGGTGAGATATGCATTGGGATACTGTTATCACTCCTAGGCCTGAGGAGTTAAGGGGAGGGTGTTTGAACTCTATGACTTGTTTGATAGGGGTCATGGCCTAAGATACTGAACTTACAGCCTTTCCTTTGCCAAACCATGTCATGGTAGGGAAGACCCAGGGACTGAATACCTTGACCACTGTCTCATTTCAACCTTTGATCACTGCTAGGACCTCCCAACAGCTAAATTAACTGGAAGCCAGGGGCAAGTTTCCCCAAATAATGCTGGTTATTTGAGTTCTGCCTCCCAAGACACAGGGTGGGGCCGAGAGGATCTCAAGAGGTAAAGGGAGACTATCCAGCAAATTCTCTGAATACTTCTAATGGTTTTCATGTGACTTGAGATTCTGATCTGAAAAGCAACGTCACTTAACTCTGTAGCCTTTTTGATGTAGTGATTTCTATCTTGAAGAGAAGAAGAGGAAGAAGCCATAAGCATGCCAAACATGCATTAAGACTAATGTCAGGAGCACAGGAACAGGAAGTTCAATGAGTTGTCATTAATTTCCAGGTGCGCTCACATTTTATCAGGACTAAATATCAAGCTTAGAAAGATCTAGTTTTCTGTAACACAGTATACGCTCTGACAAATTTCTTTAGGGGAAACATTGGGCTCTCCCAATAAAGAATTAATAGGTCACTTGTATCGCTTTTGATGTTTTTAATCATACCACCTTTTGCTGATTAGTCATGACTTTCCAAGTAGTGTTTCAAAAGGCTTTTATGTGAATTATTTTGATTCTCAGAACAGCTCTATGAAACAGGCACTGTCATTAGCACAGTGTAACTTCGTTGTAAATTGAAGCGCAGAGAAATCAAACTATTTACCAAAGTTCATTTGGGTAGTAAGTGGAAGTCAGTATTTGAAATTAGGTGCTCCGATCACAGAGCCTGTGCTATTAAAATCTGTGCTATTCTGATTTCATGTATAAGATTATTTTGATTTGAGGACCAGAAAAAAGAATCTTTGTAGGCACAGTTTGATTGGTTTACATTTTTTAATTGCATTTTTTCCGGGACCTAAGATATCATATTCTTCTTTGAAATTTACTTGTGCCATAGTGATGTATAAATATGTTGTTTTTGTTTTTTTCCATTTGCGGGTGATAAAACACTAAAGTCCAGAGATATGGTTGATTTCTGGATGATTTTCTCAAATATTAGTTCCTATTCCATTTCTCTAAATCAACAAATAAAACAGTAACATAATGATACTCTGCCCCCAAGACCATAATTTCAAGACACTTGAAGTAGAAGCGAAACCTGAGGTATTTGTGTTATTTTTCCTGTCTCTCCAAAATCTGCTTGTTTATCGATAGTCTAAGACAAGATAAAGATCCAAGGGTCTTTGGGTAGTAGAGCACGAAGGTATAAAATAATACCTATTTGTTGAGTATTTATTACATGTTTGGTACTCTGCTCAATGTTGTATATATCATATCAGATGATCCCATTACCTGTGAGTAAAGTAATAATATTAAAACCATTTCACACATGAGGAAACTGAGAATAACTTACCAAAAGCCACACAGGGAGGAAGTTCTAATGTAGTTTTTCTCACAATGTATTAAAACCTACTTGTAGCAGAATCGAGCCGGAGTGCTTCTTAAAAGCACAGGACTCAGCGTCTTCTCAGCCTTCCAACTGAGAACCTTGAGTATTTGTGTTTGCACATCTGCATGGTTTACCAAACCTCTCAGTTGAGATGTTTGAGAATCCCATTCACAAATTTTATTACCACCGATGTGAGAAGAAAGAGTGGCTTCAAGGAAGCTGTGGGAAAGAAATGCAATGTTTGCCTGTTATCCCGTGAAAGGGTGCCTCCCCACGTATCTATAAATACTTCAGGAGTTATTCGGCAAAAACCAAGCATAGAACTGTCAGGAAGAGATAAAACATTTTTACTTGCCGTTTTGTCTACTTGCCTATGGGCCTTGTTAAGGAAGCATTTTCTTATTTTTAAACCCCATCAGGCTTCTTGCCCAGAAACTTTTATTTTCCTTGCACAGAAAATTACAGAGGTTGAGTCTGACCAAAGCAGACTCAGAATCCAAATTGTAATTCTGTGACGTTTTACAGATTGTGGTGCTTTTCACGCGATGACAAGTGACTGTTTTTTTGCTTCCCGTGAGCCACAAGGAGCCGTGTTTAATGCTGGGCGTATAGGAAAGTCATGGTGTTTGCCTTCATGGAGTTATCGATATAGTTAGTACCCTGACCTTTTCTTAGGTTGTGCGAGCGTGAGATAATGGGTGCTATTCTATTTGAAGTATCAGAAAATGAACGTTAAAGGGGCCACACTACTATTTGGTCCATGGTTGTACTTTAGTTAAGTCATCATCTACATTGTTCTACGGAGTCCAAGTTCAGTTTTCTTTCCACTACCTTATGTTGTCTTTCAAACGTAGATATTTTGCACAGCTTCGGTTGATGAAAGCCTAGCCGTTCTCATTCCAATTTAAAGTGTTTTTTTGTTTGCGTCTGAAGATGCAGTGAATCATACTGTGTTGACATAATTATGAGGAGAAGACAAGAAGAAAGAAAACCCATGGAAACAGAACAACTGAGAACAAATGATCAACTCACAGACTGACTTCCGGATGTATAAAGAAGGGATTAAGTTATCCCTTAGTATGAAGGGATAGATAAAGGAGGAATGAAGCGGGGTTGGTAGAAAAGATAATGTAAAGATGACTCCAAGGGGGATGAAGGGAAAAAATAAACAATTTTATGTCCAGGAAGTCGTTCATCCAGATCTGTCACTGTACAATCAAGCACCTGTCTGTGACATCCTTCCCATCTCTTTGCATTACAGGAGTGTGTCCACCTTTGTCATGCCTGCCTTCCTCTCACACATTAAGTAATGTTTGTCATTACAGAAGGTGGGGTAAATTTTCCCATTATAAAAATAGGCACAATTCATATTGTCTCCTCCATTTCCAGAAAGCTCAAACCTGTGAATGGAAAAGGGAGAATGAGTTCCCGTGAAAAACGATGTCAACAATCAACGATCAAACCCTGCGTGCAAGTATTTTGTGGCACAAAGTGGAAAAAAAAGGAAACACACATTCAGATCATTGAGAAATTTTCACTCTGCTCGGGAGTATAAAGTATGCACAGCTGAGGAGCTCCGTAGCGATTTCAAACAGCATCAATTAAGTAGTAAGTGAGCAGTAGGCACCATTAGAGTCCAGAGAAAGAGACGGATATGGATGGGATCTAAAACTATGGAGAAGGCTTTATCTTTTCATCTTTTCATAGAAGAGCACGCTTTAGCTCTGTCTTGAAGGGAGGATAGGATTTAGATAAACAGAGAGGAGTTAGAAGAACCCCGTAGGACAAGTAGCTGCACAAAATGGGAAGGAGCTCAAGGAAAAGTAAGTTGATCAGACATTTTTTAAAATGAGGATTTGTGTTACAAGCTAGCAGATATCAGGCTAAGCACATTCTACCGTGATTGCCTTACCTTGTCTTTATTCCCTGCCACACTGCTCGTGACAAGAGAACAAAGAATGTATACATCTAATTGGTTTGCCAAACCTCTGTAAGATACCTACCATGGGCCAAAGCTGTTTTATGTGCCGATGATAGAGTCAACAAGGACACGGTCCTTTCTATCAGGGAACTTACATTAAATATAAGAGGATATTGGTAAGAAGCCAACAAATAAAACATTTCAGAGAGTGGTAAGAGTTAACGAAGAAATGAAACGATGTGATAACGGACTCGAGTGGATGTGGGGCTAATTTAGTTTCAGTAATTGAAGTTGACCTCATTGAGGAAGTGAGGCTTAAACAGACATGTGAGTCACAAGGGGGAGCCCACCATGGAGTTCCGGAGGTGGAACACTCCAGAAGAAAACAGTAAATCCAAAAGCCCTGAGATAACAAAACAAGTTGAGCTTGTTGAAAGAACAGAGGGTTCACCCGTTTGCCTAGAGTATTGGGAATGAGGCAGAAAATGACAGGAGCTAAAGCTCAAGACCTATGAAGAAATTTGCTTATACCTGCAGTATCCTTTGTTCATCCCCATAGTAAATACTTAGGATCTGTTGAATCAATTGATTGCAAATTTTAGTAACAATCAGATTGTACAAGTTTTAGTTATATGGTTTACATTTTAACCGGAAAGACAGAGTTTTGACATACAAAATGAGCAAAAATCTTGAGGTTGGAAACTGGAAAGCCATGTTAACTATTAATGCAATTGGCTCCTTTGCCTGGCTCGTCTGTAGAAGGATGGAGCCTTATGATATGAACATTGGAACCACCTTGTAAACGATGTGCCTGATTCTTGGAGAACCCTGGCGTGAAAGAGTAGGTAAAATGATGCTGAAAAGTCCAAAGAATCCTCAAAGTAATCACTTCCAACCACAAAACAACACGAATGATAATTTTGTTCGAAAAATATGTGAAGAGAATCAGATCACGTTAAATACATTCACACGTGCACACACACACATGCAAATACCACAACGGTAAATTTGAGGGTAGAAATGAATGGGGAAAAATATTGGAAGTAGAGGTTGGTTGTGACACAGATAAAGAGCAGAGGCATGGGACAGTAAGGAAGGTAGAACTGTCTTATTAGCCGTGGTCACTTATTAGGACTCAGGTGTCAGTGACTCAGCTACTGCTTATGTAGCACACAGAAGGGTACAGAGCCACCTCCCAACTTTCTTTTTTCATTTTTTTAATGTTTATTTATTTTTGAGAGAGAGAGAGAGAGCACAAGTGGGGCAGGGGAAGAGAGAGACAGAGTCACGGAATCCGAAGCAGGCTCCAGGCTCTGAGCTGTCAGCACAGAGCCCGATGCGGGGCTCGAACTCGCAGACCGCGAGATCGTGACCTGAGCCCAAGTCCGACGCTCAAGCGATTGAGCCACCCAGGCGCCCCAAGCCACCTCCCAACTTTTAAGTAACTTGCCATCAAGAGAGTAAAGGTTCTCAGGAATAAAATTTGCTAGTTGTATTCCAAAAGTCCAGTGACTTACACATCTTTGGAGGGCACCGAACCATCTTCCCACCTCCAGACCTCATTAGTGTTCTTGCGGGACAGTCCAACCCAACGAATGAATCCAGTCCTAGACTTCATGTATTCCTATTGCAAACACAAATAAATAGAACGGTCAGCACGCTTTCACAGGTCTTGTAATGACGTAAAGACAAAGCTTCTCGATAAGACCCTGAACAACAACAATAAATTAGATTACACGTCAATATGAATATTAATTATATTTGGTGTTTAGAATTGTGCCAAGTTCGCTTGTTCCAGAATGAAAAATTGCTTGTAGAATACAGGGAAAAAATGTTCACAAAAAGCAGATATTCTAACCTCCTCTGTGTTTATCTTTCACTGACAGAAGACTAGAGTCTATTATTACCACTTCAAATAGAGTACCAAATATGGCTCTTAAATAAGATAATGGCAAACAACTGGAGAAGAAACATAAAAAAGAAATATATTGCTGGCGAAACTATTATTCCCTAGGTTTAACCTCTACTTGGCTTTGGTTTCATCGCTTAGCTTACTTTTGTAGTAGCCTACAAAATTTACATATGGAAGTATTAATTTGTTTCAGTTGATTGAGTAAAAGGGAGTTATATGAGGTCTTTCTCAAAGGGATTACAAACAGCATCTGCTTTATCTAATTTGCCTTTTTCTTTTTTTTTTTTAATATTTATTTATTTATTTTGAGAGAGTGCACAAGCAGGGGAGGGGCAGAGAGAGGGAGACAGAGAATCTGAAGCAGGCTTCGAGCTGTCAGTGCAGAACCTAACACGGGGCTCGAACCCATGAACTGAGCCGAAACCAGATGTTTAACCAACTGATCCATCCAGGCGCCCTCTAATTTACCTTTCTCTGCCTAGGAATGAACACTACCCACTATACGTTATGGGTCATTGCCTATTGCCCCAATCAGAATATAAGCTCCCCAAGGTTAGGACTTCTGGAAGTTTTGTTAACTGCGTAGGTTCAGATTCTGGACTAGTTTCAGTGCATATTTGTGGAATTGATGGATCAATCAATCAATCAATCTATGGGTATTAAAAGGAGTCAAATGTTCGTATACGTTCATACCTCTCAGAAAAAAACAGGTGAGAATGCATTCTTGACAAATAAAAAGTACTTGAGCTTCTTGACAGATGTGAGACACAGACTGGCATTCCATAAGAGACAGTGTCTGAAAGTCACCTGTAACCGCTTATTTTTTAAAGCTTCAGCCATAACTCACCTTTCTGTTAACCCCCTCTTCTTTTCGTTAAAATACACCCACATTGTATACTTCACTGTACAAAGTATAGTCCACCTGCCGTTCAACTATTCTTTGTTTCTCAAAAATGACATTGCTTCCTCTTTCATTCGTAAGTCTCCAATCTGGCATCAGCTTAGGGTAGCAAGATTCAAGACATGTTTCCATGTCTCCCATTAATCTCTGGCTGTCGAAGTCGAGGTTTTCGGGCACTCTCTTCTTTTGCCAGATTGGAAAGAAAATTAATGTATTTATCCGAATGCCGTCTCTGAGTTTCAGTCCACAACACGAGTTAGTAGATGAAGCAGCACACACAAAGGAGCATGCGTGTCAGTGGAATGTTCTCCTCATGTCTGGTCCACTTCTGTGGACTCCAGCGCAGGAAAGGAGAAGTCAGTTTTACTGATCAACTATGGCAGTTTTGTAGACTATGACTGGCTTGAGCACTTGCATTTGGTTTGATCTCTGCACACAACCCAAATCCTGATCTTGTATTCGAACTTAAACTTGCGTTCATGTTTAATATACAGAATATGATAGTTACCATAATAGAAGGTGTAGGATGAATACCATAAATACTTTATGCCTTTAAAAAAACGTTTCAGGGGCGCCTGGGTGACTCAGCCAGTGAAGCGCCTGACTGTTGGTTTTAACTCAGGTCATGATCATGTGTTCGAGCCCCGCATCAGACTCTGCACTGACAGAGCGGAGCCTGCTTGTGATGCTCTCTCTCCATCTCTCACTGCCTCTCCCCTGCTAGCTCTCTCTCTTTCAATCTCTCTATCTCTCTCAAAATATTTTTAAAAAATTAAAAAATGTTTTAATAAACGTATTACTTAAAAAAATTAAAAAAAAACCCCTATTATTTGGTGGAAGGGAGACTCTAAGGCATGGTTCTGGTTTGCTTCCAGGATTCACGAAGAAGAGAAAAGCTACACTAAATAATAAAGAGAGAGTGCATGAGTGGACGTGAACATAGTTCGCTTGAAAATAGAGCCTTTGGGGCGTCTGGGTGGCTCAATCGGTTGAGCGTCCAACTTCGGCTCAGGTCATGATCTCGCAGTCTGTGAGTTCGAGCCCCGCGTCGGGCTCTGTGCTGACAGCTCAGAGCCTGGAGCCTGCTTCGGATTCTGTGTCTCCTTCTCTCTGCCCCTCCCCCACTCATGCCCTGTCTCTCTCTGTCAAAAATAAATAACCATTAAAAAAAAAAATAGAGCCTTTGTTAGAAGCTGTCAAAGAGGAAAATGTGGAAGAGGCAACGCGTTTTGCAGAAAAATTTCAACTGAAATCCTGTGTGTTTCGCAAATGAGATTGTTCCCCACCCTACCGAAGAGCCTGTGGAAAGGTGGAGTTTGTATCATGGTTTGTTCAAGTTCAACTGTTCAACAACTTAGCAGGACCCGGGGAGCCATGTAGTACTGAGACGACATTGTTATTTATATTTTACAGTGATTTGAGCTGCTGAGTTTCTTTATACTTTCAGATTCTTTTGTGAGTTAGTCAATGGAGTTAAGAAAGCTGAGAAAGCTTAAATGACTTGTCTCAGGAGTAAGACCAGAATTCGAAGTCTCATTAGTTCATTTTCACACTTTTTACTCTCAGCTGTGGTCATTTCCACTGGGCTTGATAAAGTTCTCAGATTAGTACAAACTGTAAGACTCGAGAAACGTGTGTGTGTGTGTGTGTGTGTGTGTGTGTGCACGTTGTGTGCATAAAATCAAATGCTTCACTTACAATTTTGCTCCGCATGACTCCAAAATATTTGACAGAAGAATCTCCTTACCAGAACTTTCTGGCTGGTGATCTTCAGCAAAGCAGCGTTCACGTTAACACAGTACTGCTTACTCTCTTCCCACGTCAAGTTGTGCCTGAAAAATCCATAGCAACTATCGCCGTAGTATCTCCAGTTTCGGTCACATGGGCTGCATTTATGGCCTTAAGGAGAAACCCAGCATAGGAATCTTTACTTTCTACTTTTCCTTTTTCCCTATATTCAATGTTTCTTGCAGATCTCCAGATTCTCTACGGATAACATCACAGAAATACTCCGGGGGGCGGGGCGGGGGGAGAGGAAGAGGTTACAAAACCATACTTACTGGCGCCGCTCTTTTGTTCGGATTGTTTTATTAAATACTGGCAGAACTGCTGTGCCAACCGGTGCAGAGTGCCTGAGAAATTTTTGTTCTCCACTTGTAGGTAGTTTCGCTCTGTGGCAGCTGGAGGTAAACATGGGGTAATAATTTGTCATCAGGATAATAACGGTGGTGCAGAGACCTTTCAATGAACTCTACTTTCAGTAGAATTGTCAAACTGAGTGGTTACTGGATACACATGAATAAGCGAAGACTGCAAAGGGTCTGGGGACAAGGGGGGAAGGGGACCCAGAACAAATTAAGAACTGCGCAAAACTGACACCTGGTGGTCATCCAAAAGAAGTTGAGTTATATGAAGGAGACCATCGCAAAGTAAGAAAATGCCCTGATCAAATGAGGTGCAGGTTTTGAGATTTCCTTGAATGCAGGTTGCTAAGCAGATTTCAAAGGTGGATGGCACGTTACTTTGTTTTTCACGTCATACCAAAATCTCTTTTGATTTAAAAAATACATTATTGATTTCTGGTTGTGCTCAAAATATTGTGATATTCGGGTGAATAAAAGATGGCACAGGAGGGGCGCCTGAGGGGCTCCATGGGTTGAGCTTCAGGCTTTGGCTCCAGTCATGATCTCATGGTCTGTGAGTTCGAGCCCCTTGCGTGGGACTCTGCTGTCAGTAGAGAGCCTGCTTCAGATCCTCTGTCCCCCTCTCTCTCTGCTCCTCCCCCACGCATTGTCTCTCTTTCTCAAAAATAAATAAAACATTTCAAAATATTTTTAACACTACTACTCACATTTTCCAAAAAAAAAAAAAAAAAAAAAAAAAGATGACAAATGAAAGATTCTACAATATCTTATGAAAAATAAACAGGTACACAAACCAGCAACAGCTACATCATGGGCTTTTAGATTTATAAAAAGAAGGGCTTTTAGACTTCTAAAAAGAAAAAAAATGATAATTTTTTTTTTTGGTGTGGGACACAAATTGTTTCTGACTGAAAATAAACACATTCATTAAAAACAATGGGAAGGAGGGCTTTTAGGAAGAGGGACTGGAGGGAGCAAACTCTCAGGCGGGGAAACTGAGAAAGCCCCATGTTGGTCGGGGCGTGGGATATGCGAGACAGGGAGAAAAAAACTTGAAAAGATCGTGGGGATCTAAACCGAGCGGGATCTCCAAGACCAGTTTAAAATTCTTGAAAAGGATTGTAATTAATAAATCAGCAAAGTGATCGTAAACAGAAGGAAAAAGTCGGAGGTCTCCTTCATTGAGAATTTCTTGGCAGCCAGGTAGAAGATCATTGCAACAGTAACAAGTAGACCCACAGTGACAATTTGGTTCAGGGGCATCCACCCGGACCCTCAGGTGTTGCTTTCGCCCGGTCAACTCTTTCCCAATGAGTCAATACTTACACATCATCCACAAAGCCACCAGCCCAATAACTAACCCCACGCACAAGGTCAGCAGAATCAAAGCCATCACACGCCACAAAGGTGAGGAAGCAGAGTCAACTGTGGGCACACAATAAAGATGTTAGGGGGCGGGCTATGTGGCAGTGTCACCTCTGCCCTTGTTCTCTCAAGGTTATCTGAGTGATATAAACAGATTCATTGCCAAATGTTGCTAGTGTTCTTTTGGTGATCATCAATAGCGAGCATAACCCACTCCCCATGCCACGCACCCATCTTTTTCCAATGGATTTCGATTCTGAGTCAAAAACGACGATTAAGGGTTTTGTTTCTTGGTCTTCGTTGTGTTTTGTACCCACCCCCCTAAATGATGGCTTTTATAAGCCACAGCTGGAGAATCATACCCATTGGCTGACATCTTCGAAAATGAAGGTTAGAAAACATTCTTTCCCCTTATCCGCTTGATTTTGATTCCTCCCAGCAAGAAACTGTGTAAACCTTAGGGTAACATTCCCTGCTTTTATCCTCTATCGCTGATATTCTAAATAAGTCTGTCTGAGCCTATGTAGGTATTAGTCAAATTCTGAAGAGAAGGAAGGTCATCAGGAAAATGAAACTATACGTGCTACCCCTAGCAGAGAAGGGAAACTCCGACTGACCGATTTCAACAATTAATTTCCAAGTTGCTGGCTCCGGGCACTCTTACCTGAGGTGAGAGCCGGTTTTCGACCTTTAATATTTAAAGTGACATATCCGTCTTCATCCTGCATGGCTTCCCTTGGACTACGAGTGAGCTTAGGGTCCAATGACTTTGCAAACTTGTAATGTCCACTCTTAACGATTTCAGTGTTGGCGAGTCGATGATCCTCCTCTCTCTGGTAAGGAGGAGCCATAGGAGTTGGGGGACATGGTTGTTTTGTTTTGGTTGGGTTTGGGTTTGGGTTTTTTTTTTTTTTTTTTTTTTTTTTTTTTTTTTTTTTTTTTTTTTTTGGATATTTTTTCTTCCAGGAAGCCCTTTCCTAGCTGTTCAGAGATACAAGGACCTTGAACGTAAAAACATACAAATAATAACTTGCCGTGAAGGAGGAGATATGGCATTTGCTTCCTGTTTTCTTTATCTTCAGCCCTGAATGAAGGAACATCTCCTTACGTGTATCCTTTCAAAGAACAAAAGTTCATGCCTCATCTTCGCCTTAGTGGAGCCTAAATCATGTTGTTGAAATGAACCGTTTTCTGATGAAAATTTCCTGGGCAAAACACGAGCAGATACATAGTCTCTTCCACGGTGAGGAGAAAGTCTAACATAATTTGATCTAATATGAGCTCTATGAGACGTTTCAGGGTCTTGTGTTAGAGGGCAGCATTTCTAACTATAGCCTACACTTCATCCAAATGTGTGCATCTTCCACAAATTATATTTTTCAAAACTTTGAGGACTCTGCAGGAAGCAGGCTTCATACTGCTTGGGTTTAGGCATCAGAGAAAACCCACCAAATAAAGTGAAATAAAGCCGAGTCGGGGATGTAGGCACTGCCTTTCAAAGGTTTTCACTTTAAAATGAATTTCCAGCAAGGGGCAAATCATCATGAAGCGAAATTGTGTAATTACAGGTATGGTGGTGCTTCGATGAAGAGCTGTTTGTGGAAGGGACAGGTTCCTAGTGCCCTGCACATCGGAGTGTGATATGTGTTTCCACGCATTTAACTGTATAAAATGGGTTTTCAGGTTGTTATTGTGGCTCACACTGAAAGGAGTTGTAAGAACAGCCAGAGAGAGCTAGTTGCTGTGCTAATGTAAGAATATTAGTGAGGACGCTATTTTGTCATTAGGGTAGCTTTTTTTTTTATTTTGGGACAGAGAGAGACAGAGCATGAACAGGGGAGGGGCAGAAAGAGAGGGAGACACAGAATCGGAAACAGGCTCCAGGCTCCGAGCCATCAGCCCAGAGCCTGACGCGGGGTTCGAACTCACGGACCGCGAGATCGTGACCTGGCTGAAGTCGGACGCTTAACCGACTGCGCCACCCAGGCGCCCCTAGGGTAGCTTTTATATAGTTTTATAGCAGACATATATAAGTATATATATAAATAATAATAATATAAATATACTATACAAACATACATATAATATAAATAATACTTATATATAAATATAATATAAATAATACTTATATCTAAATATAATATAAATAATTATATACAAATATAATATAAATAATAATTATTTATATATATAATAATAATATATGTACAGTTAAAACTTCATGGCCAGAAAAACTTCCCTTCTTCTAAGTAACTTCTAGGCATTAATCTTATAAATAATCTTATTTTTATTTTTTCTCTAGTTAGCTGAGTGTCAGACTTTACTTTTCAATACAGTAATTACATAAGATCTCATGGCAGGTATTTTGTTTACTAATTTTCCCTTGGGGACATCTTGTACCTATTTCTTTTTCCCTTTCTGTTATCTCCTTCCCTCTGAATTCTTTGTCAAATTCACTTAAAATAATCTTTCATTTTAAAATTTCTTTCCTTACACACCTCACCTAATTTTAAAAGTGAGGTAAAGAATAAACAAAACAACATGGGAGGCATTGCCCAGGAATTACTCAGACCCTCCTCTTCTTCGGCTGCCTTTATTCACACACCATTCCTGAGGCTTTCCCTCCACCTTCACTCCTCTGTTCTGTGTTGTTTCTGTCACTGCCTTACATCAGCTTTCTCCCCCCCTCCCCACAAAATATACAGAGACGCTGAAAAATAATTGTGACATAGTGACAGAGAGAAAAGAACGGAGGAGAGTGAGTTCAAATGACACTTTTTTTGCAAATCTTTGCTCTGGTCTTAGCAGCCCAATAAGTAACTTCTGAAAATTTACAGTTAAATGAAATCAAATACGTAAATGTAAGGTTCGTAGGCATTCAAAAGCCTTTGTAATTATTGTAAACGTTTTCTTGGTCAATTAGCAGAAATTTTCAGGAAGTATGAAACATTACAATCAGCTTGTTTTTTTGTGGTTTCTACGTTCTCTAGGTCTTGGGTAATTGGTTGAGATATAAAAATATCGCGTTTAGTCTTCTTGGAAATTGCCAAGAATATGTTGGGCTTACTTCCTGATTCACGAATGCTTAAAACTGTACATTTAACACCAGAAATAGGAAAGCTGAAATGTAAGCCTCAGGTGACATTCCTTTCCTATAGCTCAGCCTCTGGACTTTCTTTGGTTTTTGTTTTCCTTTTAATGATTGTAATACAACTTTTTTTCTTTTCTTTTCTTTTCTTTTCTTTTCTTTTCTTTTCTTTTCTTTTCTTTTCTTTTTTTTTTATCGTTGATAACACTAGCCAAAAGCTGAGGGTCTTAGGTCCAGATCTATGTTGCATAAAAATATATTTGCCTTTATTTGTATCACTCTAAAGTGGCTTGGAGGGTGTAAACATGCTGGGTAAGTACAGTTTCTCAGGGTCAAAGGAGCCCTTGATAACATTAGTCTTAATTCTATTTTCTTCCTCTACATAGCCTATAAATACAAGCTGAGTTACTCAGCAAATTAAACAGAGAACTGCAAGAAAAAGAGATAGAGATAACACACTTTTCTTTTTCCTTTTCCAAAATCCAAAGACTTTGCAAGATTGCGCGTGCGCGCTCTCATTTTTGAGTAAACTTTATCCCCAACGTGAGGCTCTAACTCAGGACCCTGAGATTAAAAGTTGCATGCTCTACCCACTGATGCAGCCAGGTGCCCCTTTGCTCATCACCCTACAGGACTTGTCATTGGCACGTTATTTCTGTTTTTATATTTTATTGTCCCTCTTTTCTTGTCTTGGTAGAGTAAAACTAAAAAAGTCCTCTACTGCGAATGTTGTGATAAATTTGAATTACGAATAAATTTTTTTATTTGTTTACTATTTTGGAGATTAAGAGGCACTTTTCCATAGGTTACCTTTTTTTATTTTAAAGCAAATTTCTAAACTGTCTTGGACACTGAAATTGTCAGTGAATATCCACGGGGAAAGTCATTGTCCTAGTCTTTGTGGAGCAGTCTTAGGTTTTAGCTATCTAACCTTTGTTCATTAGTGTGTAGAACAACTTTCCTAACTCCAATATACACCAGCCCACATTCCTTTCCCTCTTTCTTGTTTCACTTTTTTTTCCATTACACTTATCATTCTCTGACCACCCCCCACCCCCCCACACTCACACACACAGGGAGGCATTTTTGTCATGTATCCCCCAAAGAATGTATTCCTTGGCTCTAAAATAGTGACTGACATAGAGTTACCATCCAATAGATATTTGGTAAGTGAATTAAAGGGTATTTTCATCCTGATATTGCACGTGTAGAAAGAGAAAGTTAAGGAACGTGGGGACTTTTTTGTGTTCACACTTCTTGTAAAAAGCAGTATCGTTTCCTGGTTCCCAAGTATCTTTTCCTGGTTCCCAAGTTCTTTCCCAAGTTATAAAGTCTTCCACATTTAAGTATTGTCCAGACTCCATTTCAGTTTATAGCTGAAGAATGAGTAAAAGACACTAGAATCACAATGACAAGGTATAGATTCGATAGGAAATCAGTCGAATTCATCACATTGTGGATAAAATTGTTTAATATATAATGAGGGCTAGTGGATATGTATGAGAGGAAGACCAAAGGAAAATCACGTTGACTATTATGAATGCAATAATGATGTCTTTAAACTGAAAACAAATAAAGGAAGGGAAAATTTTGCAGCTGGTGGTATCTTTTTTACAGACTTCTTAAGGCACGTCACCTTTTCACTAACCCCTAGTACATTTATTGGTGATATCCTGTTCCCTTTAAGTCTTCCGCATGAAGATTGTTGGTTCACCTCTGACTTACTAGCTTTCTACAAATACACCAAATACTGTTTATCTTTGGAAAAGGCTAGGATTTCCTGTCATGAAAAAAAAAACATTATTAATATTTTCTTTCGTTTTCAGCAAGCTTAAATATGTGGACTGAAAAGTGCAGTGCTTTATTAAAAATTAATGAACTACACAATGCATAGCTATCAGACAACAGCCGTGGCAAAGCCTTTTGTTAGACAGTAGAGAAAATAAAGGGAAACGTGTCAAATATCAACCGTCACACTGAGAAGTTTATCACGCACATGCCCACAAAGTATCTGTAAAGGTAAATAAGAATCAAATGGAATCCGTAAGCCTCTTGAGTTAAGATTTGAAGCAAAGGCAAAGAGAAAGGAAAGGAATACTTTTGTCGGGCAGGGCAAACATCTAAAAGCTATGGAAGTATGAGTGAGTATGGCGTGATCCAAGAAAGCAAAGTGATCAAGCATATTCGAACTGAGGGTTCGTGTCACAATATATTGGGATATAAGGTATCCTTTTTTTTTTTTTTTAATTTTTTTTTCAACGTTTATTTATTTTTGGGACAGAGAGAGACAGAGCATGAACGGGGGAGGGGCAGAGAGAGAGGGAGACACAGAATTGGAAACAGGCTCCAGGCTCTGAGCCATCAGCCCAGAGCCTGACGCGGGGCTCGAACTCACGGACCGCGAGATCGTGACCTGGCTGAAGTCAGACGCTTAACCGACTGCGCCACCCAGGCGCCCCAAGGTATCCTATTAAAATCACTACTAAACGTATCTTGAAGGGGTAACTAATAAATTATTTAAATATATATTTATTGATCTCTGTATGTGTATAGTATTCTATTTTCCGGGATAACGTGGTGAGCAAAACATACAACAGTTGTGCTCTTATGGATCTTATAATCTAGTGGAGGGCGATGAACACAAATAGCAAAGAGGCAAAAGAAAGAAAAAAGCAAGATAATTTCAGATCGTAGGTGCAATGTAAAAAATAGTGTAATAGATCTTTAGGGGCGGAGCTTGGGACAGGCCCTTGTGTTCATTTCACTGGACAAGTAAATGCTGCTCTGAGAGTTAAGGCAATCAATCTGTCAGCATAGCC